GTGCTTGTTCCTCGAGCACTTTGTTGGGAGTTCCACTCCCGCTTTTGACTTTTCAAGTCGGAACTTTTGATTCAAACGTGTTACGCTCGTTTGGCTCTCGCTTCGGCCACTACCATGTGGCGCCCTTTCGGCTCCACTTTGGGGCCTAGGGATTTTGTGTCTCACAAACACATTTGGACTAAAAGTTTCAACTCGGAAAATCAATAACAAGAGTGGAACTCTTAAAGAAGTGCTCAAGGAATGAGTATAAAGAATTGATAAATGAGTCTTTAGAAAAGGGACATAAAAAGGACCAACACTTTGTAAGTGTTATGATATGTGAAAGTGTCAAGACTGAGTCTAAGTTCGAAACCGAGTCCGAGATGGAGCTTGAGGCTGAGTTTGAAATAGAGCCCAAGACAAAGTCCAGGATGAAGGCCGAGACATCTTAGATGGTCAAATCTGAGATGGAGCCCGAGGTTGAGTTTGAGATGGAGGCCAAGACTAGGTCCAAAATAAAGTCTGAAAATGAGACTGAGACTAAGATTAAGACCAAAATTGAGTCCATGATAATATAACCACTAAGGAGTCCAAGATTAAAGTGAACATAAATAGACAAGTGGGGTAACAATGTTCAAGAGCCAGCTCTAGCTCCCTTGGGAAATCGAATGGTTAATACTCCCAATCCAAATATAGGTGGCATTACCTACTTGGATACTTAGTGTGGTTTATCGAAACCTCACTTTAGCCATATGGTTAAGGAGCTCGCATTAGGTTGTGATGTTTCAAAATGTTATCCCAAAGTCCTGAACCGTGGAAAAGATGTAGCACACTTTATTTCTCTCCTCTTAAGCCAATTAGAAAAGGGGCAATTGCTTGATGAAAGAGCCCTTAGTGGCTATTTTATCCCCATTTATCCTTTAATATACAATTTTGAATTAGACTTTCCAAAATGTCACCTAACCCAATATTATTCAAACCCAAGGATAATTAACCCTAAATATCATAAGACCTTTAACCGAATAGAAAAAGGGGTGCACTTTTATTCATGGGTTCTTTCCTTTTATATTTGAACTCAATGGACTATTTCTTAAGTTATTTTATTTAGTATTTTACAAAATGAATTTTGATGGAGCATTCAAGTTGAAAAAAAAAAGTAATTGACATTAAAATACACAATAAAGAAGCTACTATAAAGACCCACACTTGTAACTAAATTAAATAAGTTGATTCAAGGATTGAAGGAAGTAAAAAAATTAAGAACTAAAGATATGATTGTTATAAAGATTTTAAATTAATTATGAATGAGAGTTAGAAGTTCAAGAATCAAGGCTTAACACTTATATCAAAAGATGCCTATGAATTGAAACAAGAGTTTCATTCATTTAAGATAAAAAAACATTGCAAAGAGGCATAATTTTGAAGTGGATTCACTGCCTCAAGTTGGTAGTAGAAAGTTATAGTATATTCATAAAAGTTGATAAAAATTTTCTTAAAGTAGAGAAGAGGGTGGAGCCCTGCATCTCAAAGTTATGATAGTAATAGATATTTTAAACCTTTTTAAAAGAGTTTGTCTCTCAAGTGGAAATGAAACATAAGTGATATAGCTAAAGTTATTTCTAGTATTTATGAAGGATGCAACAAGATATACAAGCAAATTAGAAACACAATTTATTTTATTTTGATGAGGATAGAATATGAAAGGCCAAAGATTTAATGAAGTAATTAGATTAACTAAAACAATATAAACTAATATTTTGAAATCATATGGCAAACTTGGAGAAGAATTACAAAGTCTAATAGCCCCAATCTTGAAATAATCAATACATCAGGAATGTGCAATTTTAATAGAGATTGAAATGATAAGTTGATAGTGTTTTTTCAAAGCTAAATGATGACACTAGATCAAAAACCTCTTCTACATATATTGTGGCAATGTAAACATTTCTAAAATCAATGTCGTTATCTTTTCCTTTAAACATATATGGCAGATGCAACATTTGTGGTTCTGGAAAACAAGAACATTTAATCTAATTAAAATTTATCTAATTAGATAAGTCAATTCTTATTTTTCATTTTGGCTTCATTCTTTTTTTAAAGACCTTTAAACCTTTTCATATCACTACTTATTTTCAATCCATTAAGTCCAACTTGTTTTACAAGTTTTAAACGATAGTAGTGTCAATACAAATTTTTTTTACTAAAAGTTTACCCTTTTTCAGGGCTTTTCCTTTAACCAGCATAATGTTTAACTTGTGCTAAATGGTGAATAGTCGACAAATCTCTTATGATCTCTTCACATATGAAACTAAATTGGTGAATATGACAACATTTAGGATTTATTGTAACATCTCCTTCAATATTGTCTCCATCCCAAAAAACTTCATCATTCTTAGTCTTCTTTGTTTAAATTGGTGAACCTAATAGTGGATTGGAAATGACATGATGTTAATTAAATAGTTTTCCTCTTTTCCAAATCTTTTTTTTATGCTTCTATACAAATTTCTCATATTTCTTTGCATGAGTTATGATATGTTAGTTAAAATCCTGGTTCTATCTTTACAATTACTATTTATCTAATATCAACTTCATCTTTTGGGATCAAATCCACTCTTCTCTCAAAATATGTTAATTTTGAGTATATTTTTGGCAAAAGGAATGATATTTGGCCATTACATCAACTTTAATTGTTTTATTGATTTTGTAGAAGGAAAATCACCACTATTTGGTCCTATTTATAATCTTTCATAAGTGGAATTCAAAATGTTATATAGATATATCAAGGAGAATCCTTTTAAAGGTTTTATTAGCATTCTTAAATTTTAGCTAATACATATTTCTTCTTTATGTCTAAAAGAAATAGGTCTTTTCATTTAATGGGGGACTACTGTAACCTAAACAACCAATTGATATCCACTAATCCTTGAGATGTTAAAATGGTCTTCACTATAATTGATTTATTTGATGTTTATAGCTTTATTGATATTTGGGAAGGTGATAAGTAAAAAACAACCTTTCACACTCATTATAGCCACTTTGAGTATATGGTGATGCCTTTTGATCTGACTAAGTTCTAACATATGACAGATGCTATATTCAAAGTCTATATATATGTTCTTTATATATGTATATACATATGTGTATAGATACACACACACACACACAGATATATATATATATATATATATATATATATATATATAGATTTTACTATACTAATACTATTTACTATTCTACTACACTTTACTATTCTACCTCCACATTTTCTTTATAGCCTAAAATTAAAGTAAAAAATAAGTTAAATCAAATCATGAAAAAGTATCCCAAGACCCTCAACCAATTGAAAAGGGAGTGTCCTTTCCTTATATATGTAAACCTTACTGGATTTTTTTTTTAAATCATTCTCTTTGGTTGATCAAATTATAAATTGGAGGTAAAAGGTATAAAAGTGGAATTTTTATTTTCCAATAGGTTAAGTAGTAGAGAATATAGTGCAAAAGTTAACACACTTAAGCCAACAAAGAGCATAGGGAATCAAAGATAATAGTGGGAAGGTTGCTTAAAGAATATTCTTTATAACATGGTGGTAAAAAACCTTTTTTTAAGTTATGTAGACAAGATAGAGGTTGAGGAGGTGGAAGATAGTGATTTGTCATCAGGCAAAAAATTTCTTAGACAAGTGTGATGGTTTTAAGAATTAAATAGGTTTTTTAAGCATAAGTAATAGGAGAAGTTTTACAAGAAAAAATCTAAAGTAAAGGTTTTAGAAGGGAAAGATACAAAGAAGTCAAGGTTATATGCCCTTAAGAATCTTTTGGGTTGTAAAATTCTATGTGGGCTAGAACAATATATTTGCACTGTGGAAAGAGTGGAAACAATCAAAGTATAGTTTGATCAGATTCTAGAAATCTTTTAAATAGGTCTAGAAGCATTATTAATGAAGCATGAAAGTGGTAAAACTAGTCGGAGATTAGAGTCTTGATACTTCAAATCAAAAATTTTGTAAACTTGGTATCACTTAGAGGATCCATAAGGATCACCAAGCATGGGAAGAACATGGAAGAAGCATGCAAAACAAACATGAGTAGGAGATGGTATGTATCATTGTAGCCTAAGAATCTTGGAGTTGAGGATGAGAAGTTGAGGATGGAGTCATGAGAGGCCTCCTTGTGTAGTTGGTTAGGATGGGATTGGCTCTAAGAAGTTGGGCTTGCTCTAGATGAAAGATCTATCATTTGGATTAAAAGTTCAGCTTTTACATACTTGCATTCCAAGGTTTTGCTTCACCCTTTGGACAATGAAAACCTTTGTTCTTAGGAATAAATTTGCATTTTTGTTAGAAAGAAGAATGTTCTTCGAGAGGAAAAAGAAGACAATGTTCTTTGAGAGGAAAAAAAAGAAAGTGTTTTTTAAAAGGAATCTTTATGTAATTTGTGAATTGTTATGGACATACAGTGTTTCCAAGTTTATAGTAGCAATCTAAGTGTGCTGAAAGAAGTTTTAGAGTGTCTACAAAGAATTCTAAGCTTGTCCCGTCTTTCAATGTTCTTAAGCATGTTGGAAGTCCTGAGAGGGACTCTAGTGAGTTGGAGTAGCCTACAAGAAAGAACTCATCACCTTCTTGGACAAGCTAAGCTGGAGAATCTTAATGTGCATTGCGAATGGCTATAGAGTAACAATGTTCTCAAACACATTTGAGAATAGAGCATTGCATGAGAGAGAGAGAGAGTGAGTTAGAAGCCATTTTTGTCACAATTAAGGAGTTAGGAGTAGGAAAGATTCATTGAAAAATCCATGTGTAACATTATGATGCTGCAAGCTAGTGGGCAGCAATTCTACTATATAAAGGCCTCTAGAGTTGCAATTGGTGAGCCAAACTAGTTCAAAAACAGCCAAGACAAGAGGAAAAAGAAAAGGATTAACTCTATGCTATATGGATTAAAACTGACTTAAACTGTCACACCCACAAGCTAGGTTCTAAAGTTAAGCTCAAGATCTTTTAAAGTCAAGTCAAGTCAAGTCAAACATACATTTTCAAAGTCACGAGTTTTCGCCCTTTACAACCCATTCTAACTTGTCCAGATCTTTTAGCGCAGCAATGCCACTGTCTCTTTCGATCATCCTGCTCGTCTTGCTACTACCAGAGCAGTTTGCAGCACAAGGACTTCCTGACGAGCCAGGCAACGGTAGAGGACCCAACGTTATTTACTTCAACACTGCCAATACCACAGAAGGGAGTCCATTCCAGAAAAACGTCGAGACAGTCCTCAATTTTTTTTACGAGCACAATCCCCCCAACGGATTTGCAACCTGTCTTGGCTATGGCGACTTTCCCAACACTGTCTACGGCCACACAGGATGCTACAACATGTCCGACCAGCCAAGCTGCTCAGAATGCATCAAGAAAGCGTACCAGGGCATCCAGCAGAACGCTCCGTATACTTTGGGTGGTACTTACTGGATCAACGAAACGGAAATCAGATGCCGTTTGCGATATGAGAATTACAACCTCACTGGATTGAGTAAGTTTCCTCTCCAGATAATCTATCATGACTGTTATTTCCCATTCTTCCACAGCTCTCTTTGGCATCGTGGGTCCAAACAATTCAGCACCAGCGCCAGCTCCAATTCCTTCAAATCCTCCCCCGTCTCAGGCAAGGCCTCCTTCTCAGGCAAGGCCTTCTATTTTGCAAAATTCTTCGAGAAATCGAGCTCTTGTTTGGGGGCTTGTGGGAGGAGCGGTAGGGGCTTGTGTCCTCTTGGCTGGCGCTGCGTTTCTCTTGTGGAGATGGAGGAGAAAGTATACAAAGTTGAATGGCCGTCGTAGATATCACGGCAATACTGAGCTCGAAGGTTATTACTTCTAAATCGTTTTCCCTAAGAGGCTGAAAATTGTTTGTACAGGAAGTATCGAGGGTCCTGTTGTTTTCAAGTATCAGGATCTGTCTCTAGCAACTTGCAATTTCAGCGAGACGAACAAGCTTGGACAGGGTGGATTTGGAACTGTTTATAAGGTCTGGATTATGATTGAATTCATAAAGAATGAGCCGTTGAATGTTTGCTGGTTGTGTCTAGGCTTGTCTGAAAGATGGGACACAGGTAGCTGTGAAGAAGCTCTCGTTGCAATCCAGCCAGGGAAGGCAAGAGTTTGTGAACGAGATCAGCATTATCACAAGCATTCAGCACCGGAACCTTGCAAGACTTAAAGGTTACTGTGTTGAGAGAGACCAAAGGCTTCTCGTGTACGAGTTCTTAAACAATGGCAGCCTTGATCGAGCTCTTTTTAGTAAGAACCTCACTCCTTTTTATACTTTCTGTTTATTCTGATGTATCTCTCAGGTCCTAAAACAAGTACTCTCAATTGGACATCACGCTTTCATATTGTTACTGGAGTTGCTCGAGGCCTTGCTTACTTGCACGAAGAATCACACATTCAAATAATTCATCGAGATATCAAGGCTAGCAACATTCTCTTAGACGATAAGATGCAGCCAAAGATCTCTGACTTTGGGATATCAAAGCTCTTTGACATGGACAAAGGTTTCACCAGCACAAAGGTGGCCGGGACAGTGTAAGTGGCAGAATTTTCCACAACATGTGTAATTGGCACCTTTTCCTTTTTCGTACAGTGGATACATGGCACCTGAATATGCAACTCGTGGACGATTATCATCTAAAGCTGACGTATTTAGTTTTGGAATCCTTGCATTAGAAATCGTCAGTGGCAGGAGGTGCATGGATCCAACACTCTCTGCATCTCAAGAGCTTCTCGTGCAAATGGTTAGTGTCTTGGAAAAAGAATCATTGAGAATCATTCTTTATCTGGGTTTCATTCCAGGCTTGGAACATGTGGAACGCTGGAAAGATGGTTGAGTTTGTTGACAAAAGACTTGATGGCAATTATGTTGAAGAGGAGGTGTTCAGAGTGATGGATGTTGCCATTCTGTGCACACAAGAAGGAGAAGAATATCGGCCAACGATGAGTGATGTTGTGGCAATGTTGATGGGATATTTGGAGATTCGTCAGCCTCCCAGCCAAAATCCTCTTTATTTTGGTGGTGGTGGAACAAGCTCCACATCAACTACAACAGCTGATGATACAAATATAACCGAATTGGAAGGTCGCTAGACAACACATGTATTTATAATAAAATTAGTATATATACAAAATAACTTCCAGCTTTTATATGAACTTTGTTTCAAATGTTGCTCTGTGATTGGAAGCAGCTCTCAGTACTGCAAGGAAAATCGGAAAGAAATTGAAGAGATCAATTCCACTTGCGCTGTTTGTGCACCGGCACCATTGTGATCCATTTTGAGAAGCACGCATTTCCCAGAGCTTTTCTTGCAAGAGATGGCAATGATGGGACGAGCAAACGCGCTGGAAGGAAAGCTCGACCCCCAGCTGTCCCTGTCCCCTCTTCTCATTTTTCTCCTTTCTTTTTACTCTGCTTTCCTGTGAAACCAGAACAAAACCTTTTCAGTATCACCTTGAGGAGCATAGCCAGAAATAAGAGCAGTCGAGCTTACCACATCCTTGCGAGAAGATCAAACACTCACTGTGCCTCGCTTGCACTGCCGTATTTTTCATAAGTGTCCACCAGGCTATGCAAATCTCTCCGTGGAAAAACTTTCTCAAGTTGGAAACCTCGCACAAGCCTTTAAAACGGAGTTGAAGCTCGATGCCATTTCGAGTGAGATCGGTGTCATGGATAACAGTGTTGGACAGGAAGTGGAAGAACGTGGAGGTGGCTTCTCTAGACAAGATGGATAAGGCGCGAACATTCTCTGTGAAACCCCTAAGAAAGAACCTCACGGAAATTTCTGGTTGCATTATTTTCTTTGACTTTGTAGTTGCAAGTTTGTCAATGCTTTGCATGTGAGTGCCGGCAGTATATATATTTTGTGTTTGACTTTGCCTCTTCCACTTGATTTGTTGCAGTGTACTTAAGAGGAGCAGCTCGTGCTTGTACAGAATCTGACTAGGTATGGCCAATTTCAGAAAAGCTCTCTTGTTTCTTCTTGTTCTTCTTGTGATGTTTTCTTTGGTGAGCTGTAGATAAGTGTCAAGCAGCTTCCAATTGAGTGCAGGAAGGGTATTGATGAAAGCTACAACAACATTTGCAAATGTTGCTCTGTGATTGGAAGCAGCTCTCAGTACTGCAAGGAAGTAATCCTTTGTGCACCGGCACCATTGTGATCATTTAGAGTGTTATGTACAACACAGAAGAATAATATACCTTTGTAGCAAAGAAATACAAGACCAGTTTTCTTTTGTCTTGTTTCTCGCTTTTTGTGTGCTAGGCAGTGGAAAGTAATTTCGTAGGGAATATTATATTTTATGTAAAATATAATATTTATCTGGTCACAACGAATCCTCAAAACATGATCCCATGATTGTGCATAAAGGGCAACAATATTCATGATCATTCGGTAGTATCCATAGCAGTATTGAGAGAAAACTCGAAAAACCATGAAAACCAAGAGAATAATTTTATTCTTTTTCATATCAAACTAAAGAAATCAAAGTCGGAACGCCTGGAAATGTTTGGCATAGGTAGAATATATATATGCAATGTCTCTACCAGCATATATCACTTGTCGAATTAAATTTTCTATCTGAAGTGTGTTATGAGAGTTCTAGTTGGTTTTCTGAGGAGATTTGCAAAGAAAAGAGGGATATATAACATATGACCATAAAAACAAATCAAATTTGTATGATCCTCTTTTATGATTCTGCAAAAACTGGCAATTAAATTTGACCTGTGACCTTTCACTGCCATTTTAATTTCATTTCCTACTTCAGCAATAAGCAGATAATTTCAATATTAATAATAAAGAGCAGATCATACTTATATTAGTTCTTTAGTTTTAACTGCCATACATCCATCCAAAAAAATCCCCATGATTGATACCCACCCTGTGGTGCACAGCAAGAACTATAGTCACATACCAGAGTATGCTAGGAAGAAATGGCAATGAACGTGGATAGAGAATGAGTTATATGTATCCTTATATATAGAAAGGACTTATCCAAGTTGCAGTTGAAATAAAACTCTGGTCATATGGAGTCACATTCACATTCTTTCTGCTTAGGACTATATGTTCACAATCTTACATTCAAAGTAATGCATATGTTGAAAGTGGGCCCTTACTGCAGAACCTTAATCTGGGCCTTAGGCCAACTTTAAGTTCCACTTTAATTCATTTCTCAAATCTGACACAAGTGAGTCAAAAACTAGAGTCAACTCAAGTCAAACACACATTTTCAAAGTCACAAGTTTCCACCCTACAACCCATTCTAACTTAGCCAAAATCTTTTAGTGCTAGCAATGCCACTTTCTCTTTGAGCAGAGCAGTTGGCAGCAGGGACATCCTACGAGCCAGGCAATGATAGCAACATTATTTACTACAACACTGCCAAGACCATAGAGAAGCAGAAAAACGCTGAGACGGTCCTCCATTTTTTCTACGAGCACAAACCTCTCAACGGATTTGCTACCTGTCTTGGCTATGGCGACTTTCCCAACGCTATCTACGGCCACACAGGATGCTACAACATGTCCGACCAGCCAAGCTGCTCAGAATGCCTCATGCAAGCTTACCAAGCAGGTCGCTCTGTATGCTTTGGGTGGTACTTAGAAACGGAAAGAAGATGCAGTTTGCGACATTGGATTCTGGATTGAGTAAGTTTCCTCTCCTGATAATCTATCATGGCTGTTCTAACTTATATTCCCATTCTTCCACAGCTCTCTTTGGTGTCGTGGCTAAAGTATGGCAAGCAATATGTTGGTGTCAACGTCCTGGGTCCATAGTCCACCTAAGCAGCTTGGGGACGAGGTGGCGCTTGTGTGGCGCATAAAAAACTTTTTACTGACTTAGTGTGAAGGCCTGACGATTGTGGGTGTTAAACATCGTGTGAAGACTTAAACTCAACAATGTTAACATGTGAGGACTCTAGCAATGGATTGAGCATCACGATGTCATGCAATTGTCAACAAGATATTAACACGTGGCCTCCCGGAACAGCGCCAACAGAGATCCGTGGTGGTCCGCATTCTTCTTCTCGGTCGCTTCCTCGCCGCCGTGCCCCGCAAGCGGCACTGCCACCACCAGGATCGACGCTCCTCTGTCCGGTCCCGTGTCGGTGACCGGAAGCCCTCTCTGTGGTCGTGGGATTAAGTCGCTGTGGAGAAATCACAAGGAGCCCAATCCTTCCGGCTCTCAGCTTCGATCGCGGCGTCCACGTGTGGATCTGCGTTGGCGCTAGGAATAGCTTATGTGTTAGATCGACTCGGCAGGATATTTTCGGGAGCTCAGGATCGGCAGGGTCGGTTGACGACATTGCTTCACTACCCTAGCAGCGCGGGCATGTGAATGCAGGCAGTAGCAAGTGTAGCCTTTGCTCTGCCCATGTCATCTTCTTCAAGACCGAGTGCTAGGTACTGCAAGAAAAGCTTCTCTAGTTTGTGATCTTACTTTGGTGGCACTAATCTTCTTCGTTTTCCTTTCCAGGTGTGTAGTTGATTGTTATTTGCAACAGGTGTGTGATTTGGGCACAAAGTGTCTTCAGTAGCAACCCCTACCAATGCAAATTCAAGGTGGAAGCTCTATTTCGTTAAAGTGGGATTTATTCAGTAAAATGGGACTAGGTACAAATTTTCAAGTATTTGAAAATGACGTGAAATTATATGTTTTTTGTCCAGGGGCTAGACATATCTGGGGCATGGTGACTAGCGCGGTGACCTTATGTCCAGACTGAGTCCATCTAGTTGTATAATAAATCTCATTGTCAAGGTGAACAAGCCGAATCTGAAGCTAAAGAAGAGCGATGGCATGCGCGCACACACTATTTGTTTGTTCATTGAGCGTGTGGTGAGCTTTCCAAGATGAACATCATTCCTATTAGCCAGACATATAACTTAATGGTGAGAACATTTAGATATTATTCAATGTTATCTTTTTCTAACGAATCTAATTGTGAAGGTGTAGCAAGAGGCATTGCTAGTCTGGAGAAGTCATTTAACTCATTTGACCCTTAGTGTATTTTCATGAAACTAAATAACATTCATATTATTAAGGAATTTCTCTAGTACCTTTTTTTTACGACATAGAGGCTTGCATTTCTTTCAAAGGTGATTTAGTAAAAGGCCTGAGGGCACATGCCATTCTATTTCTCAGACCGGTATTAAGATATACTAGTGCAAAGGGAAAAAGGTATTTGGTGATCAAGTAAATGGCATGAGGGCACATGCCATTATAAGCCTAAGCGCTAGTGGACACCTCCTTTTTGGTACTCTCAGCGGTACTATCATCCTTCTCCGGGTCAGTTGTTTTGCTTTGGATTGTTGTCTCTGACGTTACTGGGGCGTTCTCGATAGTTGTTAATGTTGCCGTTTGTTCAGAAAAATGATCACCTGGAGTATAGTACGGGGAGTTTGGAAGACTTATATATTCTACATCTTCACCTATCTCCTTCTCCGTCTCCTTTTCTGCCTCACTTACAGATTTTGTGCTTGCCATGAGAACGCTCTTCACCCTAAAATATGGAGTTCGTTGTGTTATAAAAGGAAACCAACACACACGCTGCAAGGGAATGATGGTACATAAAGCACGTAAGCCCACAATATGGGTTTATGTGCCATTAATATGGGCCACACGCCATATTATTAGATTTATGCACGTGTGATTGGTAAATGCATATGTCACATCATCTTTGTTTTACCTCACACACTATATCAAGCCTCCTCTGATTCAGATTCGGATTGTTCACCTTGAAATAAAATACATTAGAAACTTTGTAAAGGAATATTAATGAATCTCACCTTGAACCCGAGTTATGAATGCTCTTGCTGCATCTCTTGCATGGTCTGGCAAGGTGATGGTGGCACTCTGCTTCCGCATCCAACCATGCACAACATTATCCACCGATATGCTCATGCTGGGATCCCTTGGATTCAGCACCCATCTCTTTTCTAGGCAATCCTTCGTATATCCGGAACTTGGCTTGAACCACTCCACAGTTACATTGAAGGAGTTAGTTTCCGCGTCCTCCTCTGCATCAGTGATGTAGCGCCCCACCCATATCATTTGTTTTTTATTACTGGGTCTGACAAGCACGACCATTCCTTTGCAGACCTGTACTGGATTGAATGCTGAATCCGGCTTCTTGTTCCTCGGCCCACAAT